CGAGCCGGGCCGTTTTTGGGTGGTGGTTTGGCGGGTTGGTGGTTTGGCTTAATGACGAAATCCCCACTCTACAAGAGCCAGGGCTTCAAATGCATTTTTTGTTTTAACAAAAAACAAAACAATCCGAACCAAATGGAGGGAAGCTGAAGTTGTTGACTTTCCCTTCGCGTAGCAAAACGCATGGCTTAGTTACCCCAATTTGTTACCCAACATGGGTTCCGTATGGGTAGGGTCATAGTAATGGATTATGGATGCACCGTTTCTGACAGCCTGTCATGGTTTCCCAGTGGGCCCAGGCAAGCCATAGCAGGCTTAACAAACAATTCTTGCTTTTGGACACCCTTCCTCAGTTTTTCAGTGACCCTGCCCTTTTTGGGGAAGACCATTTTTAGAGTGACCCTGGAAAAAAGGGAACCCTTTTTGGGGAAGACCGAATTTTTAGTGGGGGAGCCACAAAAAAAATGGGAAAAAGGGTGCCACTGAACAACTGAGCTTCAGTGAATCCCAGCTACCACAATAGCAAGCTTAACAGACCATGTGTGCGTTTTTTGGACACCCTTCATGGCTTCTGAGTGAATCGCAGCTATGGCAACCAAGCTTCCCTTGGTTACCTACAGGGGGAACTGGAATCGCTGTGTACCCGAACCTTCGCCGTCAGGATCCAAAAACCTTGATTCCCGCAAGATCTTGCCCAATGCTGCAATTGTATGAACTGGCAGCTATGGCTCGAGCGGTGAAGTCTCCCCCGTACATGCTGCATGCTTCACCAAAACAGAAGCCACCTTCTGGGAACGCAAGCAACATCGCCTACAAGCACTCCAAACAGAGAGCAACAGTGAACCTATATATATATATATGGAGTAATGCGTCCAATTGCTTAAGCCCCCGGGAACTCCTGTAGTGATAGATTGCCCTGCAAACCAATAATGGAAAATAGAAAATATCCCCAAGCAGAAATATTCTTAAGCAAATAGAAGAATGCGGATTCGTGGATGCCCTCAACATGAAGCATGGCACTCACTGGGAGAATCCGGCTGGGCAGCTTTAGCCATCGGCTTGGCCTGCCATCTGAGAGCTGGCCCACATAGTTGGAGCCATCCTCGTAGGTCTCCTGGCCATGTCCAGTTGCTCAGCTTTCGGTGAGTTTGTCGGTAGAACGTGCTGAGAGCAACTTTTCGGTGAAATCGGTGGTATGCTGTTTCAGCAACTCTTAGTTGGATACCTGGATAATGTTGACCCAGGATTAATAAACCCGTCCCATTATTAGGGGGGTGTTCCCTCCAGAAGTGATGAATCCCCACTAATTTTGGACACCCCCCTATTAATCAACCCCTTAATCCGGGGATAACATTATGTCGGAAATTATTTCATGAGCTCAAGAGTACAAGCCGTCTAGCTGCGCCATGGAAGCAGTCGATCCATTCCAAGAGGGATCTCACTTGATAAGCGGCGTGCCCGTCGTGTTCCAGGGAAACCAAAGGGACACGCTGAAACTTGTTGAACTTCCAGAATGCTACTCTCAGGGTTCTCGGAAAAGCTAAGACATTGGAGAGACTCTCGCCCGAACAAGTGCGACAAAAGTGGATGGCCAAATTCCCGATGTGTAAGGAAAGGCGATAACAAGACCGGGTACAGAGGAAGAAACAAAAACATGGTCGGCAAGACTTGACCATGTTTTTCTGTGTGCCGGGTCTTGTTATCCCCTTTGCTAGTTCTGTTCTTTGTTTAGTCTGCCCTAGATTTTTGGAGGAGACCGAGACCTAGGGCTCCCAAATTATATTTCTTCAAGCTCCCTATGCATCTCCCTGTTCAACATCACCCCACTGAAAGGAAGAAGCTCACTTCAAATAGGCCCAAAACCCGATAAACAAAACCAAAACGGGGGGAGACAGGGGTGGCTCGTCGTTTTTCGAGTCGGTACCCGTTTGCTCTGTTTCCCCCCCGCTTTGTGTGGGAGACCAAAAGAAAAACCATCAGGTGGGTCCCCGAAAACAAGACACAGCCATGACACAGCCAACTGGGCTGTGTCAAGTTTTCTGATCCCCTGCTAAAAGCCTAACTTTTAGTGGGACACGGAAACGACCACTAAACACTAAAAGGCTAAAAGGCTAAGGAACCGGATGGAGCCCTGAGCCACCAAGCCAAGTATAGGGAGCCCTACCCGACAGCGATTTCGCATCGCCTCGCCGTCCACGCCGTCGCCGTTGTTCCGGCGCTCCGGCGCCTTCGCGCGACCGGCGACTTTTGGTCTGACGCGCTTGGAGAAGTGTCCCGTTCCTCCATGTGCTGAAGTCCCCTGGAAAAACTATTTCCACTAGTGATGGTTTCCCTTAAACACAATCAACAAGGTGATTAAAAAACAAATGCATTTCAGCAAATGGAAGCCTTCCCCCCACGTTGCCAATCGTTGCACCTGCAAGCGGCTACCTGGAAGATCGAGTTCCTCTTGGAGCAAAAAAACTGTCAGGTGCCATGTTCGTGGGAGGGTATAGGCTTGACCCCAACTGGAGCCTGGTAGTAGATGTTTGAGATGGCCAAGAAAGGTGTTGCACGCTCGTATGGGCCAGACTGGTGACCATCCCTTTGGTGTCCCCAAAAGGGTACCCTCAAAAACAAAGGCACCCATTTATCCAGACACCGAGTGGTGTTCCAACACACATCTCGGCCCTCCACCATATGATCGTCCGGATTACTGTCATCCTAGAAACGTGGCCCTGTACCTACCGTATCTGTGTCTAGCAGCTTGGCCAATGTGGAACTGGGTGGGTGTCATCAGCATGGAACATGGGTCAGTTACCCTTCATCTCAGTTGTTCAGTGACCCTGGAGAAAAAAAAAAAAGGAACCATTTTTTGAGAAGACCGAATTTTTAGTGGGGCAGCCACCCCCAAAAAAAAAAGGGGAACAAGGGGGCCACTGAACGACTGAGTCATTGGTGGTTGGGCTCTGTGGTTTGGATTCGGAATTGAACCTCTGGTTCTTGTAGAGATGGATGGGAGACCACTCGGGGAAGCTGAACATGGGCGAGTGCTTAGCGGAAAAAAACACCGGGGCGATGAGGCAAAAGCACCGCACTGTTCGAGAACATGAGCCCGACAGGACAAATGCAGCCTGGCAAGTAAACGCAAACATGTGTTGCATGGTCAGATGATCTGAGGGTACTCTAGTCAAGCGGATATGCTTCATCCAAAGGTTCCGAACGGCACGCACCTTTTTTTAGGTAAAGTTTAGAGGTCCACCATCGACCAACGACGGAACGCCAGAAAGGCAGAAGAAAAGTTGCAAAACAACCAAAAAACAAGGGGTTCATTCCAACCATTCTTTTCGACCATCGTTCTTTTCAAAAACCGGCTGTTTCCCCTGGGTGTTTGATGGTTTCCTGAAAAGAAGGATTCGTGGAAACAATGGGGGAGGTACCCGTAGAAAAAGGGGAGCTGGGGGCGGGAATCTATAGGATCCCCAAAATGAGATCCAAATTTCCATTATCCGTCCACAAGGAAACTCGCAAAACATAGCCACCAGCCGTTGAAACCACTGCAACGCACAAATCAAAGGGGTCTGGGAGGGGGCGGGGGATGACGTGGGGGGTCGGCGTCGGGCCTCCGGAGACTCTTTGAAGCCTGGCGCCGGTCGGAACTTGGTCAGCCGCCTGCCCCTCCCGTTGCCCCCCCAAAAAAAACAATGGATCTGCACAAACTTGCTGCACCGGAATCCAGAAATCCAAGCGAGCTTTCCACGAGTGCGTGAAACAAAACCAACCATAGAAGGTACGAGAAACGAGGGATCACGAACCTAGGGGGCTTCTAATGCAGCACGAGTATGGTTTTACGGAAATCTGGTCTAACACTGAAGTCCTCAAATTGATCCTCCATTGGCTGCACCCCCTATCAATCGACCAACGGTTGCCAATGGGTTGCCAGTCTTGGGCTGCAAGAAAAAAGGAAAAACCTTCTGAGGAATATGTTTTGAAGAAGTTGAGTCTTGTGCTAACCTTGCAACAGCAACGGGCATGGATGCGAGATAGCCGAAGTGGCTTCTGATTATAGTGTGGTTCTCTGTCGTTTGCAGGGTTCGATGCCTAAAGGGACTTGACTCACAACATTTAAGCCGAATTCCTGGGAGAGGTCGAAACTTGTTCCTCAGGGTTGCCTGGAAGAATTAACTCACTTGCCCAAAGGACCTGAAAATAAAAGGTTAACCTTTTGGGACATCTACTAAATAAAAAAAAGACAAAAAAGGGAAAACCAAAAGGTCAAAAGGTCGGCTTTGAACAACTGAGTTAGTTAAAGAACCCCAACCTGGAGCGAGAGGTTCTTAATGCGTGGGGTGAGTCTCACTCACCTTCCTCACGACGAGAAAAATGACGACATTCTCCAAGCAACATGAAATTGCAACCCCCGGACCACTTTCCTCTTGAATTTGGGGGGGTGCAAATGGCGCTCCAGGATCTCCAAACCCAGGCAAAATGCCATCGCAAAGCCGCAAGGAACCCTCGGCGACCGAGCCTGAGGAAGGGTCCTGGCAAAGTGACGTGCACTGCTGAGAATCCCCAGCCATGCTATTGGAGTCATTTGCCAGGCCAATTGGGGTCATGGGTTACTTACAGCTGCCAAAAAGATACATGCCCATGTTGCAAAAGGTGAATCCGGCCGTGCATTTTTGGCCTGGGGTTAGGCCAACTGAAGCAGCAAAGCAATGCCCATGCACAAACCGGCCGCCCCAGAGACTGAACAGTGTCCGCGCAAACGCGTCTTTCTGCATCCGCATGTGGCATCATCACTTGTGACACCTGGCATCGGCACAGTGCGGAGAACCCACGCGAGACCGCCAAACCACGTCGCTCGCAGGCCCTTGGATCAGGAACACCACGACACACTTCCCCCCCCAAACAAATATTAAAACGAAACCTCCCACCGTTGAGGCCGTAGTTGGCCTTGTTTGGCCTTACTTCACTTCGGGCTATCTTCGGGTGGTTGGCTGAACCACAGTGAGCTTGCTCGCGTGAGAGTCTTCGTCTATGCCATTGTGGCGAGCTTCAAGCTCCATCGGCCTTGATCACTTGCAACCGAGCAGCCTTTCACTCGTTGAGCACTGACCCAAGGAATACGGAAAGCTACTTCCGGTCTCACGTCGATCTGGCGATTCCAGCCCATCTCACCGTTTCGTCAAGCCGCACATACTACAACTCACAAGGCTAGAAAACAGGAGTCCCCAAGTCCGGGACTTTCATCAGTTCTTGGTTGACGTTGGAAAGGGAGCAAACAAATCCATTTTTTAGCAGTTAAGTGGATTTGGATTTCAACCACTAAACCACGAAAATGCAAAAATGTAAAATGCTTCCCAACCACAACCATCGTTTGGCTTCCCCAAATCGGTTCTAAACAGCAGTTTCCTGTCGGATGCTATACACATTGATGGTTCTTCGGCCCACGCGGTTGGAACCGTTCATTGGAACTCACCAAGCGCGTCCCCTGACTCATGGGTTTGCTCGTTGTCCCAACTCAGTGAGCTCAACATGATGTGCCCGCAGTGGGAACTGGGCCTCATGCCAAAGGTGGCCATTACGCCTTCTCTCTCTCAAAACGGGTTCTTTTTTGGGCACAGAATGACAGAATGGTACGGAAACTTCCCAAGCCACCTCCCGAGTGGCTTCACTGGCTTCACTGGCCTCAAGCCCGAAGCAAGCCAGCCTCAACTAGGTCCTCCAGATTTGAGAGGTTAGAATAAGGGTACCCAATTTCTTTTCGGTGGTCTATTTTAGTAGGGGCTTGCCCTCCCAACCAAAAAGAAGCGGAAAAAGTTGGCACCTAGCTGGGGGACTCAGTCAAACAGCAAGGTACCTGGAGTCTCCATGACTCTTAAAAAAATGGGTCAATGACCCCATTCCTTTGGGTAATGACTGGTAATGACCACATTTCTGAGAGTCATGGAGACACCAAGTAGCCGCAAACGGCCGAAGGCTTTCCTGCGCTTGGCCTGGTTAGGTCCAGCACTTTGTCCGCCGCCGCGCAGACGGAGGAGGCGCCCGCAAAAGCCTCGAGGCTTTTGAACTTGGTGGCTGCACAGGCGCTGACGTCCTGAAGCGCCGAAGCGCCAAATCGCCGAACGGCGCTGACGTCAAGAGATCACCCCTACCGTAAAAGAAAAAAAAAGGTCCCCAATTCCATTTATTTAGTCTTCCCCCTAGGGCAATGGAGCCGTAGAAGGCGTTTCAGGGGTCACCCAATTCCACTTTTAAGGGGGTGGGGATGTCAAGAGACCCTTGACCCTAAAGGCTCAGCTGGGGAACCCCGTCAAATGACCGCAGTTCCACTGGACATTTACCGGAAAAAAGGCGGTTGGCGAACTGGCTGGTTAAATGTTGGTCTTGCAATAATTCCACTGTCACAAACCACAAAAACCACACTCCTGGCCACCCGAAACCAACATATTCCCATGTGGCCGCGCCTTTTGGGGACCCCAGTGCAGGGCAACCCCCTCCCCCCCCCTCCCCCGCCTTTTTTTTTGTGGGGGGGGGGGGGTCCGAAGGTCCAAGCGCCCAAGCCTATTCCCCGCACGCCAGGGGAGTTTCGGCCTCTGAGAAAAGAGCCCCCGGCGGCGAACCGTAAACCAGGAAGGCCTTGGCGAGCGAATGAGCGAATGATTCGGTCGGGGTCGACCGCTGGCTTTGCAAGCGGCAAAGTGGGGGTCCCCTGTGGTTCTTGACAGCCTTTAGCGAGGAGAAAGTCATGATTCGACCATCGTTCTTTTCAAGAACCGGATCTGTTTCCCTGGGTGTTTGCTGGATTCCTGAAAAGATTCGGATCCTGGAAAGAAGTAGTATCCTAGAATGATGGAGAAACACATCGGCCTTGGGCTGACCATCTTCAGTGGGGGAGAACCCCTACCAGAAGGAAAAATAAAGTGCCACCCAGACGCTCCCGAAAGATTTTGGGCCTTCCAAGGCCAGGTTTTGAGACCCCGAAACCCCTCTGGGGTGTCCAATGGAGGGTCAGGGTCTTCGATTGGAAGCCCCAAGAACGTCTGGGCAGTGATAAAATGTTCGTGCAAATGCCAAAGCACCCCCCCTCCAAAAAAAAACAGCAGACGCCCTTCGCGCTCACAAAGCAGATCCTTTAAAACAAACTCTGCGGACTATCCGTATCGCTGCAGCTCGAAAGTCGCAGAAATCGCCCAATGTCTCTATCTCTCTCTCTCTCTCCCCCCCCTCCGCCATTTCAATTATCCAATAATCCAGCCCCCAAAAAAGAAAGCTGTCACAAACGTGGTGCAGAATTCAAGTGGGTACTCGAGAGATCGATGAGAACAAACCCAGTGGCTGTTCGCCTACAACAATGATTATGCATGTTTACGTCGGCCTTACCAAACTTGTTAAGCCTAACGGTAGCCAAAAACACTTGGCCAAACCACTGAAAAAATGCGGGCCATTCCCCCCAAAAGTAGTGGATAGCCTGTTGCAATGTCAATTGTGGAAGGGTTCTACACCTTTGTATGGCATAAGCAACGAGCACGATGACTCTCATAGAACGCGATCAACAACAGAAACCTCAATACCCCCTCCCCAAAATGAAGACTGCTCTCCAAACTTGCGCAGCTCGGATTCCATGTTAAGCTTCAGTCGAGAACGCGGACTGGAGCTCACGAAAACTAAAAACAACCAGGGTACAGCCAAACCAATCAAACACATGCACACCTAGTCAATGAAAAGAGTGAATCATGGGGTTGACCTGTAATGGGAAACGTCCAACATATTATCACGGCAAAAGGCTTAAATAGCACCTTTGCCAGGCTACTATCTGTAGGTTCCCAAGGCTATCAAAAGCCCTTGTGCCTCAGTCTGCCCAAGTTTCGTCCAAGCATCATCAATACGTGCCGTGCATACCCAGTCTCTTCTGATGAGGGATGCTTTCAGGAGGAATCCAGGGAATGCTCAAATGAACAACTGCATTCCTTGCTTGCTGTTTACCCCTCTGCACAGAATTACGACCGCTTTTTGTGGGTCCAATTCGGAAAACCCTTGATTTCAACGACATGTTAAAGTCTAAAGATCCGTTGCCCAAGACTTCCATTTGCTTCTTTAGCCCCCTGGAAAAAATCCAGCTAGCAAAATCGATTCCCTCAAAACCAAGAGGGGACAGCAACACACATATTCATTTCACACTTCATTCGGACAAGCTGCTGCCATCACTCCGCCGCCCGGCGCACTCTTGGCCTCGGTCGTTCTCGAACCGGGCGCTCTCACATCAAAGCTCTTTGGACCTAACGCCAACTGAGTCAAAACCCGCTACTCAGTTGCCCAAAGGACCTGAACATAAAAGGTTAACCTTTTGGGACCTCTACTAAAAATATACCAAAAGGGGAAACCAAAAGGTCAAAAGGTCGGCTTTGAACAACTAAGGGTATTAAACTGGTCCACCCAGAACCAGGTAGAGAATTTAGACGGCGGCCGCAGCTATTTCTGGTTGGGATCGTCCCTTACTAACCTAACCATCTTCCGGGCTTTGATTGTAACTCAACTGACACCAAGGGGTCCCTACTTTTCTTGTGAAATGCAACCACCAAGCAGAAAAGCTGGATCCTGAAAGTCGCGTGTATATGGACACATCTGAATCTCACGTCCGGGAGGTGTTGCGACAGGATCCGAGGACAGCAAGTGTATTATTGATTAGGGGGGGTGGGGGAAAAAAATGGTTATAAGGTTGGTTCTAGGGTAGGGTATTTTCAGTTCAGGGTTTCAGGGGCAGGGTTCATTTTCAACAAGCAAACCATTTTGTCCAAAACCTAAAGGTTGATTGTGGGGAATTTTCCTAAATTTTCTCAACATTTTTTTACAATTTTTTCATTATGAAACAGTCTAAGATTTCATCATTTTCAAGGTTCGGGTTTCAGACCATTTTTAAGCTTTCTGGGGGTTAGAAGGGTACAGTCTTCAATACGCTTAACCAGTGTTGATTGCTGAGGGCTTTTCTTGATTGTAGGGTTGGAATTATGAAACATGGTTGTTTTGACTTCGCTGCCATTACTCAAGACGCCTTGGCATTGTCAATTCACTTGCGCCCTATCCTTTGCTGTTCCTCACATGGCATTGAAGCAGGGTGGTTACACCAACAAGGGTGAAGAAGTGATGGCATCCCTCACGCCATCAACAGATGTTCCGTCCTCATCAATTCCTCACACGGTCGGCATCACAGATGACACAATCGTGAAGGTCTACCAGTTGGATGATGACAAGTTTGATGAATTCCTAAGCACAACCAGCATTGAGGACTTGGCGAAGCACTGCCAGTCATCCAGCATTGTGCTGAAACATTTGTTCAACCGCGTGGACCTGATGAAGAAGAAGGTGAAGCTGTTTGAAAGCAACCAGAAGAAAGAGGAACGCTTGAAGATGAAGAAGCACTTGGATGAGGAGAAGAAGAAAGAGAAGAAGATGGAAAGGGAGACCAGTGTGAACCTACGCATTGACCACAACAACCAGGTTTTCCGCGTGGCAGTTCAGTTGAAGTCAACTGTGGGAGACCTACGCCGTGAGATTGTACGTGCCATGGGGTTGCCTCGCACTCATGCTACGAAGTGTGTGTTGAACTACAAGGAGGTTGAGATTTCACAACACCCGAGGCGCTGTTTGTCAACCTACAAGGTGATGGATGATGACTACATGGTCGCAACCTTCGTCTTTCCGGCATCCACATCAAAGCAGGTGCACATCTTGGGCGAGGACTTCACAGCAACCATTGCAGGCGACCCTGACGAGATTGCTTCGAGCATCCAAGACATCATGGAGAACGGCGAGGTCTCTTCTGATAGTGAGGAGTCAGATGACTGATTTGTTTAGGGTAGGTTTTGACCACCTCAAAGAAGCATCCGTCGATTGAACATGCCTCTCATCACATGTTCATTTTCACCACTTCACAGCTGTTTGAGAGATGTCGGTTGCTGACTGAGCAGTAGGAGAAACCAGAAACGCTACATCTGCTGTGTGTAAAACAAGTATTTGCTCATGTGTGCTCGTGAGAGTACCTTGAAGATTGAAGACATGGAGCATTACCTTGTCTTGATGTCGTTGTCATACATGACCGCAGGTGTTTTTACCTCACTGTTTTTTAGATTGTTTCAATCTATCCCTCACTGTGAACCATGCCGCCCAAGAAGAACGCCACGAAGAAGATTGTCCTTAAATCTTCAACAAAGAAGGCGACTTCGGTGGCTACTCATGATGTGGAGTGTGCTTTGAAGGCAGCTTCCAACGCTTTGAAAATGGACAGTGTTGATTTTGACAGCTTCATCCAGTGCTTCCCACTCGCTTCTCTCAATGACCTCATGAAATATTTACGACATGACCGCACCAACCTCGCCAAGAAAATAGAGTGTGTGGCATTGTTTGATCCTGATGTCAAGAAGATGATGAAGTTGCGGGACTATCTGGACAATGCCATTAACAAGAGTTGCGACATTGTCCATGATGCAATCGTCAATGCTTGCAGTGATGAGGACAACAATTTTGACATTAATTCGTTGTATGACAAGGTCAATGTCCGAATAGGTGTACAGACGCAAAAAGCCGAAGCATCCAACAAGGACCAAAACATGTCCTCTTGAATGGATGCCCTATTTCAAGTGTTGTTTCCACATCATGGTTGTCTTTCTGGGTTGACAACCATGTCATGACCAATGCTTAAAGAGCATACACATATGCTCCGACAGCAATGCTAAAACAGCATACACATATGCCCAAAGAGCATTACCAAACAGCATGGACATATGCTCCCACAGCATTACCGAACAGCATACAATATGCCCAAAGAGCATACAAATATGCTCCCAGAGCATAGAAATATGCCCTCAGAGCATATCAAAAGGAAAATTATAGGTAAAAAATATGCCCCCAGAGCATACACATATGCTCAAAGAGCATACACATATGCCCAAAGAGCATACACATATGCCCAAAGAGCATACACATATGCCCAAAGAGCATACACCATATGCCCAAAGAGCATACACCATATGCCCAAAGAGCATACACCATATGCCCAAAGAGCATACACCATATGCCCCCCAAAGCATGTTTGACGGAGCATATACCAAGGTCATTTGCTGACGAATAGCCAGCGTCTTCGGGGATTGTCATGAAGATCATGACCTGATTGAGCAACTGCTCATTACATACAGTATTGAGATGTTTGAAAAAGATTTGTCGCTCGCAGGGCTTCAGGGTTCAATCCATTTTTGTTTAACCCCTTCCTTAACAGGGTGCTTACTCCGGAAAGATGCCAAACATGTTTCCGCTGCCCCTTCCCTTTTAAAGGCATCTTTCCAATGGAGTATCGCACCAAACACCCCCTACGAAGGCAATAGGTGTCCAACGTAGGAAACACACAGGCAGGCGTCGGCGGTATTTGAACTGGAAAACCCCCACAAAAGCACTTTTGTCAGTCATCTAAGGTGACGGGGAGCGAAAGGGTGCTCCATCGTAAGCATACCCGTCAATACCTTAGGCGACTGTCGTGCCATTTTTTAATTTACAAGGCTTCGCCTCATCCGCAGTGATGATGCTGATGATGCAGTCCATCCCCAAACCCACATTTCAACATTGAACCCAAACCCACAAAATCAAAACCAACAACACAAACCCCCACCCAAATATACTTAAAGAGAAAATACCTTATATAGTATAGAGAAATGGCAGGGGAATACAGCACGGGTTCAGTAATTGAATATCTATTATCCAATAATGAAGGTCAAATAAAAACAGGGAAGAATAACAAACCATTGAAAAAACTAATCATCAACAACAAAGAATACTATTACAACAAAGACAAACCATTATCCACATCACTTCAAAACAAACTCAATCAAGTCAGCAACACACAAGGTTTCAAACGATTTCATCTTCTAAAAAAAGCATCAAACACAATGAGAGGCATTAAAACAATCCAGAAATACAGATTAAAAATAGGAGCAAAAACATCAGAGACATTTTCAGCATTGGAAGGGTACGCCAACACATATTCAATATCCAACATACCATTCAAGGGATACAAAGGATTAACATATCTTTTATGGCAAGAAAAGAAACTAACAGAGTTTTTACAACAAGCAAAGTCAATGAAACTACTGATTGATGTTGAGGTTCTGTTTGATAAAGTTAACCAGCAAGATGATGATGATGGAGAAGACGAACCAACTGAGGAAAATATACAAATAAAACACGATATGAGGAGTAGGAGATACAACATTTTGAATGTAGGAGACTTGAAAAAAGCATTGGAAAATATGCCTAAAGATATTGAACTACAAATTGAAAACTCACCTTTGAAACATTCAGGATTGAAGATTAATAAGATTAACAAAATCACCATCCACTATGACAAATACAACCCGAACAGAGCAGGTAAATATATGGAACTACCAGAATGGATTTCAAAGAAAAAAGCATGTATCAACATTCAAAATGATGATGAATTATGTTTTAAATACTGCGTTTTATGTAAATTTTATGAAGTCTTCAAGAAAGACCATCCACAACATATGAGACACTACAAGAAATTAATAACTACTGAAAGTCTAATTCAATGGGACGGTGTAAATTTTCCAGCATCCAATGATGACATAGACCATTTTGAAGAAATCAATAACAAATCTATATCAGTTAATGTTTATGTTGAAGATGAGAACCAAACCATCAGAGCAGACAGAATAACAAAAATTGAAAGACCATCTTGTCATATTAATTTGTTACGAATTGAACAAAACAACAACGAACACTATGTTTTAATAAAAGATTTTAGTAGATTAGCAGGAAGACAAACAAACAAAACAACTAATAAAATGTTTTTTGTAGTTTTTGTCAGCACGGTTTCAAGTCAGAAAAACTTTTAAATTCTCACTTAATAAAAGGTTGTATGGCAAATGACATTCAACAAACAAAAATGCCAGAAGAAGGAACATCAATGAAGTTTGAAAAGCATTTTAAGAAACTGAAAGCCCCATTTGTTATTTATGGTGATTTTGAATGTTTAACAACAGAAACATCAGATGGAATAAAGGGAACATACCAAAATCATAAACCCAGCGGTTATATGCTTAACCTTGTTAATGCTTACAGTGGAGAAATGAAACCATTTTTATATAGAGGTGATGATTGTATGGATAAATTTTGTGATACATTAAACAATATTAGAGACGATGTAATGAAACAAATGAAAAATC